CTGCAGAACTGCAGTCAGTTGATCCTGCAGTGCTGCATTTAACCACTGCGCCACCTCGGCTCTTGTAGGTATTCCTATTCTGTTCTTCACACTAATTATACTAATGGTAGTTGTTCAGTCCTTTAGACCATTGTTATACGCTGCTGCCCTTTTATCGTCACTGAAACTTTTGTCTAGGTGCGTGCTTCTTGTTGGTTCTAGGTACGTGCCCACCAGTTGGTCCTCCCGCCCTGTGACGTGGTCATCAAGGCTGTATCTGAATATGTCGGTGCCATCAAAAGCCCCTCTGGCTTGGATGTAATAGGGAGAGATGTCTTCAAACACTCCCAGGTGAGATGGGAATCATGGAGATGGATATAGACCAGTAATCAGGCTTAGTAATTTTGATATGGTATGAAAGTTGCAAAGAGAAAGAGGAAATAGAAGCCAATGCGATGCCAGACAACTTCGGTGTTTTTATTTTTTTATGGAATCTAATGAGTTTCTAGTTTCCTGAGGTTCTTTCCTTTCTGCTCTGTAATTAATATAAATCTTATTTTGTGATTTCATTAGGAATCGAGGCGGTAGCGTACAGTGTATAGCTAACTATAGTAGGATTTCCCTGCTGAATTCTAGGCTGTTGTTGCTGCACACATTTTTCCCCGTCATTTCCATCATTTCTTTCTCATTCCTCCCCAGTCCAGGACTGAAGATAAAATTGAACGCTTCAAGAAAGCAGTAGAATATTATTCAGTGGCCATGAAAGCACCTCCTACACCAGCCGGCCAGTCCCCGTATGTTCGTGAGTATCCAGGCGACGCTGGTCAACTTCACCTCTCTCTCAAGCGTGTTTTCTCCCACTGGCCAAGAAGGTGAGGCCCTGCCTGATACCTTACAGCATCCTCTGCTGGGAGAGGTCAGGTCTGGATTTAACTCTGAAATTACCTTCTCTTGGCCCGAAGAGAGCTTTCGTGCCTTTTAATAACTACATGGCTTGAAGAGGTTTGGGATGCTTTCTTCAAAACAATGCCATAACAAGTTGGAAGTTCTGTTTGTTCTTTGTCTCACGGTTTACTAAAAGGCACAAAAGCACCTTTCCAAGCCAGATGCTGGTAATCTTACTGGGCCTCTCCTGGATCCTGCATTCAGAGATCATAGTACACTATTCTTAATAGCTGTCCTTACTGTCCATTATTATATGTTTAATTTCACAATGCAAAAAGGTTGTTACAAGAAATATATTTAAGCAACTAAGACATAATTGGCCCAAATGCCCCTTCATCCAGTATTCTTTATAATGACCCCAGTAGCTTAAAGAATTCGGTCATCTATTAAAAATCAACAAAGGGTTTTGTGATTAACCACTAGTTTATGCTCCCTTAGATATTTACTGTTGGATTCAGTGGCTGGAAGTTGCCTTTTTAGTCCATATTGTTGCCATTGTATCCGGCTTCTGTCCTGTTTCTGACACCATCCTTTGCTAGGAAACACAGTCAAGTGTGTGAGAGCCACTCTCCTAAAACAGTTCCCAAATAATGTTCTAATCCTGCACTTCCAAGCTCTTCAAGGATTTTTTTTTCCAGAGATAAATAGTAATGATGGACAAACACCCTTATTCACTCTAATTTCAGTTTCATGTGGAACAGCCAGTAGAATTGTATCCTGCTGTTGCTCTCTGTGACTTCAGGTTATCCTCTCCTCTATTCCAAGAATCTGAAGCTCAGGCTTTTGGGGGTAAAATTGCCCCAGTATAAAGAGTTGTCCATGGAACATACCAACTCTAAAAAAAAAACGGAAAATGGAAAAAGGCAAGACTGATTATCCTTCAGACAATGAAGATATGATTTCCCATGCATAACTTCTGTCTGAAGTGTTTTTTTCTTTTAATCTACGCACCAATTTAATTGACTTCTGCATTGGCAGAGGTCTCCACTCAAGGTATCCTGGTAGAGTCATGTTGGGCTATTTTTTTTAAAGTATAACAAGGAT